CCACATAGCAAAATTAATAATGATAAAATTATTACTGAATTTATAAAACAAATTGAATACAACATACACAAACTGGATAATACAACAAAAAATAAAGTAAGAAATGATTCAATTGAAATTTTAAAGAAAATTTCTTATAACTCCTTTGTAAATCATAATGATAATATATCCATTTTAAAACGAAATTTTAAAAAAACTAAAAATTTTTGAAAGAACATAAAGAATTATTAATTACTAAAGCTGATAAAGGGAACTCCACTGTAGTGATGGAAAAAACGGAATATAATAAAAAAATGCTCGAGTTATTGAACGAAAAGGACACATATATGAAAATTAATAAGGATCCTAATAATATTTTGACTAAGCAAGTACACACACTGTTGAGTCGTTGGAAAGCTAATGAATATATTGAACCAGATATTTATAAAAAACTAAATGTAACGGATAGTAATGTGTCTAGATGCTATGGCATGCCCAAAATACATAAAATTGGTAATCCTTTAAGATTTATAATTAGTAGTATAAATAGCTCCCTATATAATTTAGCTTCTTTTCTAAAAAATATTATAGATAAAAGTTGTAAAGAACAGTTTGGTTTTATAAAAAACAGTTTCGAATTGGTTAACAGATTAAATGGTAGATCTTTAGAATCCAATTATAAAATTTTATCGTTTGACATTATATCCATGTATACGAACATTCCAAAAAATTTAGTAATCAACAGTCTAAAGAATAGGTGAGTATATATTTCCGAGACCACTGATATTCCAATGAAAGAATTTATAACTGCCATTTCATTAATTATGAACTCTACGTATTTCGTATTTAACGATCAATTTTATAAGCAAATTTTTGGATTACCAATGGGCTCGCCTCTCTCTCCAGTTTTAGCAGATATTGTTGTACATGACTTAGAAAAGGAGATACTATCTGGTTTAAATATTCAAGTTCCTATATATTTTAGATATGTTGATGATATCTTAATAGCATTACCATTTGACGAAATTGATAATGTACTGAAATCTTTTAATAGCTACCACGATAGAATACAATTTTCTGTAGATAGAGGAACGGATGAGTCTGTTAATTTTCTTGACGTCATTGTCTCAAATAAAGATGGGATTTTATCATTTAATAACTATAGAAAACCAACGTATTCAGGTCGATTTTTAAATTATAATTTAAGTCATCCAATACAACACAAAATGGGTGTTGTATTGGATGACTTAAATTATTGGATGAACAAATTGTTGGATTGTTTGACAGAATACTTTTTTTATCACATCCACAATATCACAAACAGAACATAGAAGAATTGGTTAACATATTACTAATTAATGGATATCCACTGAATAAAATATTTTCTACTATCAATTCACGAATTAAAAAACTTTCTGAAAGAAAAAATTTGTATATTAATGGTTTGCTTCAAGATAGCGTTAATAATAGTTACAACAATTACTTTACAATTCCATACATTCAGAATGTATCGGAGAAATTTAAAACTATTGCAAATACAATTAATTGTAAAATTTCTTACAAACCAATAAACAATTTAAAATCTATTATTACTCTTGGTAAAGACAAACTAAAGATAGTGGAGAATATGAATTTAGTTTATAAAATTCAGTGTTCTGATTGTGAAGCCTCATACGTCGGCCAGACAAAACGGAAATTACACACTAGAATTAAAGAGCATCAGAGTGATTTCAAAAAACGTAATGTGTGCTCCGTTTTGTACGAACATCATTATCAACATAATCACAGTTTAAATTGGGATAATTTTCAAATTCTTGATAGAGAATGTTCCTATTACAGAAGATTAACTTCCGAAATGATACATATAAAGAAACAAATATGTTGACTCAATAAACAGACTGACACAGTTAAGTTTCCAGAATCATACGTTGCTCTTTTAAATTTGAAGAAGGTCAGGGATAATAACGACAGTTCGACTCAGATAAACACATGTGTTTAGAATCAGAATATAAATACTATGATATGTCACTTCGATATCAGTACGGGTAGTCGCTCGATGTATAAAGATCTCACAGAGTTATTATTAAATTGATATAATCCGTTTGCGGTTGAATGTGCATTGTGTAATTAATGATTCAATTTTGACGAAGGTATAACATTAATGACTATCAAAACTGTTATAATTTAGATTGATAACATTTTGAGTGTTTTTATTTTTTAATTTTTCTTGAATTGATAGTATCTGGCAATAATGTCGTTTAATGTGAATTCAAAGAGAAAGTGGATCCTGCAATTCCATCACTGGATAAGCATATTTTTCTCGCAAAGATATACGTCAAAGTAACACAATCAACATCAATATGGAAATAATCAAGTATTGTACAACATGAAAGGGGAACAACATTTTATTGCGGTTTACGTTAAAATAATTTCTACCTAGATCAAGATAAGCACCTATTAATGTAATTTAGTCATAACTTTTGATGTATCATTATGAACAGATAATTTTACGTTGTATTGATAAAGGTCTAATATAGACCGAAACGTCTACATTTATTATTTAAAATATATAGAGATTATAAAATATAATCTATCTCGCTACTGTCTTCCAGCGTACGTGGAATAAGCCGTATATACAGGGTGGGGAAAAAGTATGGAAGCAAACAATTATTTCCGAAACTATTCATTTTTCGACAAAATGTCTTAGACATAATTTTTATGGTATGAAAAGATGTATTATGTGGCATAGACGGCATGACCTTGAAATGACCCTTACGAGCTGCATACAAATAACGTAA